TAAAATTCAAAGTCAACATGAATTTATACACCCAAAGTTTTTCCAGAACCATTTCATTTTCCTATTAAAAAAGGGATGTGACAGAACTTTCCCTGCTCTCAAGGTGAGCACAGAAACCTTACTCATTTCTCTTCAGCTAAAGGTTAGAAGGCATGGAGAGATGCCAGTGCTGGTGACATGGTGAACTCTGCAAATTGAGGGATGTCCTGCAAGCCTTCTATCAGCTAATAGATCACTTTCTGTTTACTTCCACAATCATTTTTAGCAGGGGGAGAAAAAGCTCTTTCCAGTGTCTGAAAGTTCTTTTCCAGTTCTTTTTCAGGTTGGTTCCCCCCCCATTTTTCTGTTAAGGGAGAATATTTATTATAAGCACGCAGCTTGTAGTACAAAAACAATGTAACATCTTCAGAGACAAGCATGGCCAGTTTAAATTGACATGCCCACACCCAGTCACCCAGTAAGCATGCAATTTTGTGCATTCATAGATATTTTGACCTATCATTACTAGGAATGTTAGTCAGTTGGATTATCTCATATGCCAGAGTTCAGGTGACCACATAAATAACCTCTAGGAGACTAAGCAATGTGGCTGTAATTGAGACAGAAAAACAGTACTGAATCTCCTTGGTTTCTGGAAAGATTGGCATGAGACCAGAACTACTTCTTTTTAGTATAGAGTTTGTGCTGCGATCTACTGAGTAAAATGCTGCATTTCATATAAACCCTTTGTGTAGTTGCTGACAACACTTGTCTAAATGGAGTTACTTGTCTACATGTGGAAGATATTTATATCTCTTTGGGCATGACTAGCACACCAGGCTAACAAAGAGACCATTGTGGGACATACTGAGGGAGGTTTTCATGGCACCCATTCTTAACGCTGTCCTTGAAGATTAACAATAAGAAAAAGAAATTGGATGTAGATGCCAAATTCACAAAATGCGGACATCAATCAGAATGGGTGTTTCCCTGATTCACTTGCTGTGGATTGCTGCTGATTTATAATAATACAGCATGTTCCCCAAGCAAGGACATGGTGTCAAAGCAGTAATTATGAAGTATTTGTTGCGTGCTGAATTTGAAAATTACCCGGCTCTTCCACTGGCCTCATTTTCTGTTTTGGGATCAGTGCTTCAGTTACAATCAGCTGATGTCACCCTTTTGAACAAATGTACCTGGATAAAGAATGAGGCTGTCCGCAGTTAACAAGCAGCTGCAGAATACCTGAATTTCTGCAGCCGTGGAAAATGACTGCCCGTTGGAAAGGAAGTGACCCAGCAGTGCCAACATGCCAGAGAGGGAAAAAATAGCGAAAGGAAAATGTTGAACGAATGACCACTTTTATGCTTATTCAAATTCCTGCAGCCATCCTTCTAACCTGGAACCGCTGAATTCATTCCTCGGTATAAGGACTGTGTGATGCAGTTACATACAGATAACAACATTAGTTCTTTTTTGACTTACAGTTGTGAAAGAGGTATGAAAATGGAAAACTATCTGATTAGCCTGCACTTACAAAAGACAGCTTCAAATTCTCATAATATCTTCCACTCATGGCTTTTCCTTGAGTCATAGCCCAAGTTACTAATGCTGTATTTTAAATCTTAGAAGAAATGTAATGCTTTGTGCAGTGCTGCATAAATGAAGGACAGAAATGGAACAGATGATCCTTTCATTCTTTAATTTCTGAAAAACTAAAAGTTGCCCTGAACAGCTACGTTGAAATATTTTTGCTATGAAGATATAAGGAAAACAGGATCTGAGCTTTTTAACTCATTATTTTCTGAAAAAATGTAATGAATGCCATCTATACCTGTAAAATCTGCAATTTTTATACTTTTTGTGTGTGTGTGTGTGAAGAAAAAGTAGTTTTGAACCTTAATTACGATGACAACTTCTTAGAAAGTCAGCTATATTTGAAACCTAGTGTTAGACTACACAGGGTAAAAAGTTGGAGTTCACTGCTTGACCATCAGATGCAGAAGATACGTGCCAACTAAGGTGCTTTGAGAATGAAATTATTCTTTTAAATGAAATAGATCTTTTAAATAAACCAAGGGTGGTCTTTCTGTTTTCCATTTGCATATTTGAAAAGTGCTGAATTAGAGGAAAAGAAAGGTTACAGTCCTTTCATAAATAATTTAAAAGAATAAAAGAAGAATAGAACTAATAATTACACTGAAATGTTTCAGGTTTTTATTCAGCTAGCACAATGGGTAATAAGACGAGATGATGTTCCAGTCCTTACAATTCTTTAGCTTGTATTGATGTAGGATGAAAAGAACAAAAGATAATTAATGGTTTATGAAGAGAACACTCTTAGTGGCAAGCTGATGTCTCAGCATCCATCTTCACATTGATCAATATTAGAATCTATAGCCTCACTGGTTGTTTTATGATGCCTTTAAGAAAAAGAACACAGAATTATCAAGATCATAAAAAAATGTATTTCATTCTTTTGTGACTATAGCCTCGTTATTCTGCCTGAGAAAGGACACTGTGATTCCTCAGTGTCACAGCCCATTCTCAATAGGAAGGCATTTGTGTTATTTTTCAACTTGTGGTCTGTGCAGTTTGCCTCAAGAGAAGAGAACAGCCCTTCTCCAAGCCAGCTGGCCCACAAAACAAATGTTTTCCTGCCCTCTTGGCCGAGAACACGTGCTTCAGGCCTTCCCTGGGCACATGCAGCCCACACAGTGTGGTGCCACACAGAGCTGCCAGATCATGACTAGCCAACCAACCAACCATCCATCCTGAGCTGGCATGATTAAAAGCAGCTCTAGCCTCAAGCAGCTTAGACGTACTCACACCCAGCAGTGCCCTTGCTAATGAGCTCTGCATCACTCATAAAGGTTGCAAGGGAGCACAGTCCAGCTATGTGGTTCAAACACCAGATCTGGTTGTGAACGTGTTGCAACTAGAAACTCAAACACCTCACTCATAAGAAGGAAGCAGGAATGTATTGATATCATAGTTACTTCGCAAAGATTAACATAAATAAGATAGAAGCTTAGCAAGGTTTGAGATGGTGGGGTAGACTTGATTATTTACTGCACAGAGGATAGGGTTAAACACACTCATTCAGGAGACTCTCTCATTGAGTCCTGAGGTTCAGGGTGGACCCCGTTGCTTTCTAAACTCCTTGAACCACAGAATCATGGAATCCACTCCTGGATTTGGTCAGTGATTTATGTCTGAGAGTTTATATAAGCACAATCAATCTAAGATATAATATAGTAAAACTAACAAAGCTTAAAACTATTCATCACTTACCAAGGATCTCTATCAGCAAGGTATCTTGTCATCAAGGTGTAAGGGATCTCTACGGAGATGCAACCATGAAGGGCATTCCTACTCAAGGGGTGATCAAGAGGCTCTTGGGCTGCTCTATGCTATGAGTGTGCTCAGGTTAACAGTGTTATGAGGTAAGGTGACTGACTCATAGTATTCAGCAATCAGTATTTAGTACTAGTTCTTTCAGCACCCAGTTTGAGAAGCTAATGTGGTCATTATCTGTCTTGGCAATACCTTGATTTTTATCAGTCCTGAGCAAGGTTTTTGGCTTCCTTTCTTTGAGCTTGGAAAACCTCCAAACCTTCCCTGCTCTAGGACACCTGAAAGGTCCTGGGTACTTTATGGTTGTTGCCACATAACACCACTTGCATCCATGTCTAGGATCCAGACTTCATAGATGTGAAATTACGAGGTGAAAGAAGGCAATTTCAGGTATTTTTAGAGTCTCTGAAAACAATAATTAAACAAACAAAGAACAAAACTAAAACCAACCTCTCCTGTTCAAGTCCAAAGTAGCTGTACACATTACAAAAGGAAGGCACGTGAGGATGCGCCGTTCTACTGGAAGTTGCATGGAATGACAGCAAATCAGGACTTTACCAGTGCCTAGAAAATCTCTTTCTAACTGTGGAAAAGAAAGTATTCTCATCTAAACCCAAAGACAGAGCTAGCAAAAATCTTAATTTTACACACTTTTTTCTGCCTCTTCATATTCTCACTAGAAAAATACTGGCTCACTCCTATGCGCTAATGACAAGTATATTGGATATTCATATTGGGTGTCAAATGATGTAAGTTTATTTATTTGTAATGATTGGTAGCTTTTGAGACAGAATTTTACATAGCACAGGTACCTGAAGTCCTTGGGGAAGGAAGCTTTCTGCATTCTGCTGTCTGGCTGTAACCATAAGGTCTTTCACTAGAGACAAAGCGGGTCCCCAGAGATAAGATACACTTTAATTTACTTAGTCTCTGAGATTAAATCATCAACACAGAATACTAAATCAGCATCAACTGCAAAGGGATGGTCTTGTTAAGACCAGACCCTTGCCACTGCCACCTCAATCTCAAGCTTAACATATTTCTTTCTGAAGTGTTCCATTCCTTTTGCTTGTAAATTCAGGCTACTTACTTCTAAGCCTTTCAGTCTAATAAATTCCTGCTGTGTTTCTCAGACACTTTGTACAAAGTGTGTTAAGAAATCAATAAACATAATAAAATAGAGCCTAAATGGCCTCCAGACTGCTACCTAACACTGTGACACCTGAATTGCTTTGTTGCACACAAAAGACAGCTTGCAGAAAGAAACTGATTTCACACAGAAAGGACAGAGATTCCCCCCTGTACTACTGGATCCAGAGGAAAATGTCTTCATGTCTAAGAGCCAAGTCCTAACACACTTGAACCTAAGCTTAAAGCTAACAAAGATGTCCCATTAGTTTGATCCTAGGGACAGTTGCTGCCTCTGCAGGGCCAGCAGCTTTCCCTCTTGACCTTGGAATTTTAGCGTTCAGCTGTCCTTGCAAAAGTGGCCTGGGTAAGATGCAAATAAAATGTGAGATGGGAATTTAATGATTTGCTTTATTGTTGCCTGAAGAACTTACAGACAAATTGAATTGTCTCTACGTCTATGGGGAGGGGGAAAGGCATCTCAGATTGAAAAAGATGGAAAAATTAACCTGCCTGCATTTTGTTTTCTTTTTTAGATACCTCCATCATCTACCCTCCTAGATGTGAAACACAAATTTCACAAAGCCTGTAAGTACTGTGGCCAGCAGGCTGGAGGTATGGTTAGAGGCCTTTAAGTTTGGAGAAGCAGTCAAATTTATTTTTCATGAAATCTCACACAAAAGCTGAGGCTGGCTTGACAGCTCCAGTGCTAAATTAGAGCAGCATCTGGAGGTTCTACTGTAGCTATCACAGCCATGAAAGGCTGGAAGGAGAGGACTACATTATTTAACACCACTAGCTCAAGGGGGACAATATTTTTCTATCCCATTTCTAACATTACAGTGCCAATTCAAGATCTCAGCTGCATTTGCTCTCCCAGGGTTGTATTTGATAAGCTTAGATGACATTAGACTGCTTCAAGCTGGTTGTAAATAGACCACGTGGACCGAACAGCTACTGTAGCAGGGAGCAGAAGCACAGTGTGATTGAATGACTTTTCTGGGATCATGGAGGCAAGGTGGCAAAGTTCTCAATTAACTCAATGCTGTCCAGTTCCTTAATGGTCTGGGCAAACTCCCATTTTTCTAGCCTCACTTTCTTGTTTTTGTGTCCGTGGGTGAAGAAAAAAATAGCACAGGAATGTATAATTTTGGCACATACAGACTGTAGATATGGACCTTGTTCATGAGATGAAATGAGCAACTACATTCAAAGATGCCCTTTTCTTGCTTTCAGGGAACAGTTTTTTTTGGATGCTTTCTTTCTACCACCTTCCAGTCATATATATCCAGCTCACAGTAGAGGCAATGGAAGGAAAGGTGAGAGAAACAGCAAAGCAGGGTGCCAAAGTTTGATGGCATTTCCCTTTATTCTTTATGAATTGCTGGGTTAGTATTTTAGAGAGGCCAAATATACCTGAAAGCTACCAGGTGTAAATGTATGTATGGTGGGCCTTGAATTCTGCATACTGTATGTGTTTGTAGAGAGCTCAATTTTGATGTCTTGCTCCTAGAACAGGAGCACATTTCTCCTTCTCTGCCTGTGGAAAGTAGCATGCTCCTTGCGATGAGGATTCATAGCCTTGAATGTCACTCACATGGGATAAGCAGGTCTGTACAATGCCTGCTAACTTGAACTAGGCTATTAAATTGATAAGAAAAAGATGCAAAAGAATTGAGGGTTGGAAATAAAGGGCAAACAAACACAGGCTAGAAATGAAGCACCAAAGGAGTGCATAAGATTTAATGTTTCAATAAAAATATGTTCTCCCCTCACTTTGTGAAATGGCGTGCTTTTCTGCTGATGCTCTCTTAAATCAATTGAAACTGGGTTTATATTGATTCAGCTTAAATCAGCTGATCACTGGCACAGAGACTTATCCCAGTTTAACTATAATGAAGTTTTTAATTAATTTGGGGTAAAATGGTACAAGTTTGCATATAAGCCATCCTAATGGCACCTGTTTTCATACACAGAGGTACCTTACCTCTCAAATGCTTCCAGTGATGTAAGTGGAGCTGTATATAAGGAAAGCAAGAAACAGTACAACAAGGAATAGTACAAACCATGAACTGAATCTCTATCAGCATGGCCCTTTACAGCACAGGGAAGGGCTGACAAGTACCTTCAATGCTTTTTCAGTCCTCAATTTCTAAGTTCAATTCCCACTGTTCTCACAGTACACTGTGTCACAGTGTCCTGTGTCGTTTCTTCCCATTCCAGCTCACTGCTTTGATCTCTCTTTTCCAGCTCAGCCTGGGTGTTATTGTTTCATGAGGTCTCTCATGAAACTACAGGTTTCATGAGGGTCTCTTGCAGCTCGGAAGGCAAATGGGATCCTGGGCTCCATCAGGAGAGGGGTGGTCAGCAGGGACAGGGAGGTGATTGTCCCTCTCTACTCGGCTCTTGTGAGGCCCCATCTGGAGTACTGTGTCCAGGTGTGGAGCCCTCAATACAAGAAAGACATTGAGATTTTGGAAAGGGTCCAGAGGAGGGCGACTAAGATGATCAGGGGGCTGGAGCACCTCCCCTATGAGGACAGGCTGAGGGAGTTGCGCTTGTTCAGCCTGGAGAAGAGAAGGCTGCGGGGTGACCTCATTGCAGCCTATCAATACCTGAAGGGAACCTACACCCAGGAGGGGAATAAACTCTTCAAAAGGGCTGACAACAGCAGGACTAGGGGAAATGGATCCAAGTTGAAGGAGGGAAGATTTAGGTTGGATGTTAGGGGGAAGTTCTATACAAGGAGAGTGGTTAGGCCCTGGAACGGGCTGCCCAGGGAGGTTGTGGATGCCCCGTCCTTGGACGTGTTCAAGGCCAGGTTGGACGGGGTCCTGGGCAACCTGATCTAAATGTGTGTGTTTGGTGGCCCTGCTAAGGAGGGGGGTTGGAACTACATGATCCTTGAGGTCCCTTCCAACCCGGGTGATTCTGTGATTCTGTGAGGTTACCCCCTTCTCCTCTTCCACTGGCAAAGGACAAACCTTCCCTTTTTTCCTCTGTGTAGTTTGGGGGATGACAGCTTACAGAATACAGTTCTTTTAGGCAAGAGCCACGAAGCAGCTGAAGCTGATCTGTGGATGCCTTTGGTTAGTGTCTATTTGTACTAGCTCATGCATTCATTTCTGTCATTTCATGTGTGCCAGACTCACATCTTCCCTATAATCTTTGCTAAAACACTCCTACACGGACACCCTTACAGTCTCCCTGTCCTTGTGCACTATCCTTTGATCACCCATGCAATTAAGCTTTCTCCTCAGCTGGTGTCTTGTCAGCCCTTCAGTGAGAGAGAGGAACCCCTGTGCAGTAATTTCACAAGCATCGTCTCTGTCACTGATCAGGTTTTGCTGCCTGAGTGAAGAACAGAGGAGAAAGACTGAATTACGAATTGCAGCAGGGGACTGTTAATCATTAAATAAAAGAAACGGAATGCAAGTGACACATAACATGCTGCTGCTTAGTAGTTTCTAAGTCAGTCAAATATTAGTTTGCATCTGTATTTATATGAAAAAATACTCAAATCCAGGAACGTTATTATTCCTCAGGTCTCATTTCAATAAAACTCCAACAATCCCAGCCAAAGCTAACACTGTTTTCTGTGGCACTGAGTTCAGCAGGGCAATCCCAGTTATATCACTGGAGATTCAGGGATCTATAAGCATTTAGTGGAGGTAACTATCTAAGACACACGGCCCTTCCCATGGGAATTCAAAGGCTTTCTTCAGACTGAAGAGTGCAATTTCGGATCAGCCCCTGGACACTGTAGCCACCATAGCAGAGATGCACAGCACTGTGGTCAGCACAGAACAACAGTGTCCTGCTGCAGCTTTCCAGCCATCAGTTTCTGCAGCAGGTGGCAGATCCAGACTGCCATTCTTGCAGACTAAACTTTGCAAGCTTTTGTCCTTGGCAATAAATCTTCACCTTCAGTTTATTTTTGTCTTTTCAAAAAGTATTGGACCAGTGGGGGAGGATATCTTATGGATAGAAAATGGAGAACTGTAGTAATAATAACGCTAATCCAAGTGTCGAGTAACTAAAATAAAATACGTCTAGAACAAGTAGTATAATGGAATCAGTGATCATTCAGTATTTTCAGGGTTACTGCACAGAAGTTTCTGGTAAGGTTCTTGAAAGTGGAGGAAGAACAGAAAGGAGGGGGGGAAATAAGATCACTGCAACACCATCACAAAATCTTGGACGCATTGTTCTGCACAGGGAGGTAGCACAAATGTAACTAAACTTTGAAGTCAGCAGAATGAGCTTAGGGAGATCAGAAACTGCCCTCCAGGCAGAAGCAGCAGGCAAGTGAGGTAGGGCAGATGGCAAGAAGCCTGGCGATGGACAGAAGGAAAAAGAAAAGCAGAAGCAAGGGTTGAAAACATCACATGGAGAATATCCCAGCCTGCAGAGTTGGAAGTATTCAAGAAATAAGGAACACTGTAAGCTGCTAGCTGTCCCAATAAGATGCTAACTTCTAATCACTGAGATCCAACTCTGCAGGCCACCCTTTCTAAGCTAGCAAAACTTTTTACATAAGGTATGTTAAATAAGGAGCATTAGCGAAAGTAAATCAGTACAAAAGAAATTGTCAGTAGGTGGCACTCAAGAATAAACAGCATAATTTCTGGACATTATGAAACTTCAGTGGTGTGCTGTACAATCTTATGACTGCTTCTTAGCAGATGTTTCTATAGAAATCCTGAGAGCTACGTCCCCTAGAAAACCACCAAAATATTTTTTGTTGCTTTCCTTTGGAGAGAGGACAAGGAGAGAAACAACGCAATTCCTACTTCATGCTGGGAGCCTACCTCTCCCCTTTAGTCTCCTCCATGTGAGCTGAATGCATCCTAACACATTGCTATGCATCTGCCAGATTTCAACTACTGCTCTCATCCTGCACAGTGTCCTGCAAAGTATCATAGACTCACATCATGTGTTGGATGTCAGGAGGAAATTCTTCACAGAGAGAGTGGTGAGGTACTGGAACAGGCTGCCCAGAGAGGTTGTGGATGTCCCATCCCTGGAGGTGTTCAAGGCCCTGGGCAGCCTGGTCTGGTATTAAATGGGGAGGTTGGTGGCCCTGCCTGTGGCAGGGGGGTTGGAGATTCATGATCCTTGAGGCCCCTTCCAACCCTGGCCATTCTGTGATTCTGTGAAAAGGACCTGTAAGGAACATTGAACCCAAGACCTGTCTTCTCACAGGACCACCCCAAAATCAGACCATTTAACTAAGAGCCTTGTCCAAATATTTCCTGAACTCTCTATGTCTTCTATATTTTTAATGATATCCAAGAACTCGTAGCATGATTTCAAGTGAAAAGGCTTAAGGAAAAATTCTCCATTTTGTGTGAGCTGTGCAAAAATGCAAGAGCTGGATGCAGTACTGCTGCTGGAAAGGATGGCTGTTCTTTCTGCATCACATAATTTCCCCCTAGAGGCTGTCCGCAGCGTTAAACTGCAGGGCTCAAAGAGGTGGGGAAGGATGCTGTGGGGATTAGTCATTAAGAGCAGTATCAGCAAGAACGGTGACTGCTAAGCCACTGCATTGCCTACAGGCTCTGTACAGTCAGGACTGCTTGATAACA